TAAGTAAAATAATGTTCTTCTTCAATTGAGGAACGAACCTTACTTCAACCAACTCCCGAATCACCCCGTCACTCATCCGAATACGAATAGTACTGATACCACCAATAGGGCATTTGTGATCATTACCCATGAGCACAACATTCGATCTTTCCAACTCCTAAAAGCTGGAGAACCAATCCCTCCTAGGGCAAATACGGTATGAGGCACCCGAATCGAACATCCACTCAGTGGAGTCGGTAACACAAACTGACGAAAGTGCTGGGCACGAATAGTCCGAAGAATCTGAATCTGAGATATCGCCACTAGCCTTGGCAACATTCACCTCTGAAGCTTCAATAGCTTTTTCCTTATTCTTCCTGGCTTGTTCATTCAATTTTGGGCATTCAGCTTTTCAATGTTCATCTTCTCTACAAAAGACACATTGATCCCTACGAACTCCAAGATGTGCCCCTTTAGACTGCGACCTTCTACCTCGATTTGGACTCTTAGCTCTTGCAACCAATGCCCCCGCTACCGGCTCAATAGAAGTCTCCTTGTCCTTCTTTCTAAGTTGATAGTTCACAAGTGCAGCGGTGACCTCACTATATGAAAGAAATGCCTTCCTATTAATAAGAGTAAAAACAAATGTCTCATATTCCTCGTCGGGCAAGAAACTCAACAACAACAACGCCTCGTCCTCATCTTTAACCATAACATCTACATTCGTCAAATCTGCAAGAAGCTTCGTGTAGTGGTTCATGTGATCACCAATGGATGTCTCATTCTTCAATTGGAAGCGATAAAGCCTCCTCTTCAAATGTAATTTATTTTCGATGCTCTTCGTCAAATACTTGCTCTCTAGGACCTCCCAAATCTTCTTCGCTGAAGTCTTATTCATCATATCATATTTTAGATCTTGAGTGAGACAATACCTAATCACACCACACGCTGTACGATTCATCTTTTCTCAAACCTTCTCATCAATGTCGTCCGGTTTCCCGTCCAACTCTAACATATTTTTCAAATTCTGCGCATTGAGCGCATCCAAGACTTCGCAACGCCAAAGTCCAAAATTGTTAGTATCATTGAACTTCTCCACGTTAATCTTCATCGAGTGGATATTCAAACTTTGGACAGTCTTCACGCCTGAAGAACCACCCTCAACACCTTCTTTCCCGACCATAATCCTCAACACACCAACAAACAATTGCGGAAACGAACAAGAAATAGATCTAAACTTGAAAAAGATAGAGTCTTTACCAAAAAAATCCCACCTTTATCACCAACTAAAACCCTAGACGAGCTTCCAAATCGATCTACTCCTCCAAATAGCCCAAGCGTAGCCCGAGCTCTGATACCACTTGTTGGGCTCCGTGTCGAGGAACCAAACCAAACGCCCGTTCGAGAAGGCAAAACCAACCAATCAATGCACAAACACAAACCACCAATTTTAACGTGGTTCGGCAATTGCCTATGTCCACGGGGCAAGAAGGAGATGGAGTTTTCCACTAATAGAGAATAAGAGTACAAATTAAGATTACAAATCACTCGAAGGAACAAACTAATCTCACCATAAAACTCTTAATCTCTCCAAATAAACCCTAAACAAATAACTCAGAAAATACCTCTTTTCTGTACTCCAAATATCCCAAACTCAAGCCTTAGAAACCCTAGAAACGTATATTAGTATTTATACGAACACCAAAACCAAATAAGAACATGAAACCAAAAGTTGGGTCTGACCCGATACGCGGTCGATCGCCACGGTCGACCGCGCCCAACGACAGAGCCTGTAAATGCGTTACAGGGTCTGCGGTCGACCGCCGCGGTCGATCGCGTCAAACGACAGAGCCCAAATATCTCCTACAGGGTCACGCGGTCGACCGCACCAAGTCCAGGCTCATGCCTGAGCCTGTGCACGTTCGCGGTCGACCGGCCTTGCGCCGCGGTCGACCGCGCAGCTCCAAAACAGTTCCCTATGTCCCAAAAGCCTATTCTTCAAAATTCTTCGCGGTTTCTTCATTTGTGACATGAGATTAATGCAGATTTTATTTGGTGAAATATAATATTGACGGGGTATAAGTAGTTGCTTTCAAGGTTTAGTGCACTTAATCTGCATCTTGTTTGTGGTCAAGAAGATACAAAGCCATGACGGGGGAATCACATCCTCATATCCAGAACCAGCATTTTGCAGTAAACCCCACATAACTTCTAAAATCATACTAAACCCTTAATAACTATTGGAATTGTAGAAAAACCCCAGTGAGTTTCTGCCTTTTGCAGACAACCCCCGTGAGGGCTTAAGTCCACGTTTCGGATCTAAATGTGTCACTAACGCAGAATGTGGTCTAAACGTTGTCATGGGGGGTTATCTGTGAAATGTGATAGGTGGTTTTCTATGATTCGAATGGTTTGGACGTTTAGTGCAATTTTAGAAGTTAGAGCGGATTATTATAATTTACCTTTTAACATTTATGACGATATTACCCTCAATTCCACGACGACAACAGAGGCCCTTGTACTTTTTGTACGTTTAGATAATGATGAGGATTAGAGTGATGATGCCCAAATGTTTGCCTTCTTGTTCTGAAACCTCATCTTTTCATATAATTGAGGAGAAGAAATAGAAGAACACATGATATAAAGACAGAGAACAATCTTTCCTCATAAATATATACAAGTAAATTATATATATATATATATATATATGGATGGAAACTTTGGTGGATGGTCCACTTAAGTTGACATAAGTTTTTCTCAGTATATATAAATTCTTATGTCAACTTAAGTGGATCATCCACTAAATTTTCTATCCATTGATGATACATAGGGTATCATTTGAACTCACAACTGTCACTATGAAAGAAAGCAATGATATTATTATATGAGTCACGATTATATGTGACAACTGTTCCCTTGGTCTTTCATGTGGATTGTGGCAACTTGACTGTTATTTATTTCTCAGTTTGGAGGGGAGGGCTCTGTTTCTCTCGTTTTGGAGAAAGTGATTCTTAATTGCTAATACAATTAGGATAGTATAGTTTTTCTTCTTTTTTTAAATCTATATTTAATTGAATTTTTAATAAAGAGTCAAAATCGGACTAAGTTTATATCTAACAAGGTGTACGAGGACTGAGTTGACCAGAAAGAAGAAAGTAAAGGGAGAAATTTGAGCATGAAGCCTCGGTACCAGGACTCAATTAGCCTTCTAGTCGAATATTTCAAAGTGTTAAGAATCTAAGATGCACTTTATGGAAATTAGGCCTGATGAGTTATATATATTTGATAGGAGGTGAAAATCTAATTGTTGAGATGTCCATAATATGCTCATGAGATGTTGTTACTCATTAAGAATAGTGTTAGTATTTTTCATATATGCCAAATGGACTGATTTGTGAATTTTATGGATGTATGTGTTTATTTTGTGTAAGCGTGACTTACGATATTCATATTGTCCATAATATGCACAATATTCATATTGGTTTGTTAGTTCTAAAGCGTGACCTTATTCAAATGGAAGAGGTCAGTGGCTACGAATTTGAGGACTTCCATTTGTTCCGGACAGATCTCTCTAGGAAGATCTGGGTCAGCATTGAATGAATCGGTCGTTGAGTTCTATTCGTGGACGATACTAGCGGGTTTAAGTGTTATGTGAAGGATTTAACAAAGGACTTCGATTTTTTTGGGTTTGCAGTAAAAATGGAAGGATTTAACAAAGGAGGAGATAGTGAAGTGCTCTTGCCAAATTACAAGCTTGGGAAGACGCCATTGCATTTAGCGACGAGGCAAAGATGATTTTTGTTTGTTTTAAATTTTTTTGCTTTAAATTTGAGTTTTGAATTCATTGTTTGTACTGCACATTATTGTAGATTGGCTCTACGAAGGAAATAGGATGATGGGTTGAGATTGTAACTTAGTTATTCAAGGTTAAATGGGAAAATGAGGGATTTTTTGGAACAAGGATGATGGGTTGAGATTGTAACTTAGTTATTCAAGGTTAAATGGGAAAATGAGGGATTTTTTGGAACATATATGTATCACAGTTAACCGTAAATAGTTATTCAAGGTTAAATGGGAAAATGAGGGATTTTTTGGAACATATATGTATCACAGTTAACCGTAAATGTGACAAATAGGCATATCATTTGATATTTCTATGTTATATGTGATAATTCAATCTTACACGTGACAGTTTTACCTTATATGTGATATTTAGATCTGATTTATGATATTTGAGTGTTGATTTGGGTGTAATTTGTTGATAGTGAATGTGCTTATTTGTCACATGACTGTAACTTGTTTCTACATGTCACATGTGGAATGACTCTATTAGATGTGACTTATATCTGTTGTATGTGTTTTTTGGATGTTGCTTGTGTCATTTGTTGTTTATACGTGACATTTGAGTGTTATATGTGATATTTGGGTGTTATATGTGATATTTGTTGTTTATACGTGACATTTGAGTGTTGTATGTGATATTTGGGTGTTGTATGTGATATTTGGGTGTTGCTTGTGACATTTGTTGTTTATATGTGACATTTGGGTATTGTATGTGATATTTGAGTATTGTATGTGATATTTGGGTGTTGCTTGTGATATTTGTTGTTTATACGTGATATTTGGGTGTTGTATGTGACATTTGGGTGTTGCTTGTGATATTTATTGTTTATACGTGATATTTGGGTGTTGTATGTGACATTTGGGTGTTGTTTATATTTGTAAACAACAAACTCCAATAATTTTAAAATACGTTGAGCAACACTTGAGGCAAAACCCATCTCTCTAAACTGCAATTTATAATTCTCAAAGAACGACCCGAAGTTGAATTAAAAGGAGAAAAAGAACCAACAAATTGAGTACAAATCCTCTGTCCCGCTATCATCAACACCGCATAATTCCGCTAAATTAGTAGAATTAGGGCTGGAGCTCTAAAATTAAAAAGGGGGAAAGAACTTTACTTTCAGATTCCATTTAATATGCTAAAGAAAAAAGATCACCAAGAAATTAGAAATGCACATTTTATCATTTACAAACAGCTAGTAAACATCCAACAGCCAACAAATGAAATAGTTATATATGTTTGTCTAATATCAATGGTACATCATTACCCCAAAAGTACAAAAGATATTATGGATCATCAATATCTAACTTCAATCATAACTACTTCCATTCACGACCTTCGCATATGATTTGAGCAGCAAGTCCTGCCCGTAACATCTCAGACTCTCTTTGCAAGGCTTCAATATTCATTGCCTACCTTTTCTCTAGGATCACCTTGATGGAAAAAATATACATGTATGCCACAATCATATCTGTAAAAATATCACATAACACTTAAACTGCAACATATATAACTGATAACGAGAATATATCACATAGAATATAAAAATATCACATAACAGCAGCATATGTCACACAGAATACCAAAATATCACATAACAGCAGCATACGTCACAAAGAATACCAAAATATCACATAACAACAACATATGTCATACATAATACCAAAATGTTACATAACAGCAACATATATCACACATAATACTAAAATGTCACATAACAACAATATATGTCACACAAAATACCAAAATATCATATAACAACAGCATAAGTCACACAGAATACCAAAATGTAACATAACAGGAGAATATATCACCCAAAATGTCACTATGTCATATGAAACCAACACGTGACATAAGCAAGTATCACATGTATCAATAAATTGGTAAGTATAAGATGTTTAGAGAAACTTACGAGCCTTTTTTTCGTTCGACTAGGAACTGCTTTATATTCGAACGTTCTGAATGTCGACACCTGGTCATATCCACTCACCATCCTATCTAAAAATAGTTGGATGGTCAATATTCATTGCCTCACTTCCTTCTAGGATCGCTTTGATGAAAAAATATGCATGTATGCCACAATCGTACCTAAATAGAAAAGAGGTAAAATCACACTGTAATGTATAAATATCACATAACAGTAGTAAAGAATCCCTGAATCCTGATACTATTTCCAAAATCTCATATATTTTAATTTTCCACATATTATCTACTACACTGCAGCTGCCTAAAACTGCTAGGACACTTCAAGCCTTGTCCCGTTTCAGAAAATGCTATAGCAAACAAAGGATGACTTTAGAAAGTTTGAATAATCAAGATAAAACACTGTATTTTAACGAAATACTTTGCATCAATTGAACGTCAAACAACATCTTAGGACAATTCAATAACCATGCTACATGCGCCCTAGAACTATAAGTACATAATGCATAGTATATCTTTTCTCCAATATTTACGGAAGAAGCATAGTCCAAGTTCATGATTTTTTTCTGAAGTCCAAACTAATACATGCAGCCAAATTTCTCATATTAATCAACTAAAAGCTAGTTCCTAGAAACTAAAATGATGACTAAAGTAAATGATTCAGAATTTATCTAGTTTTAGCTACAAGACACTAAATAAGCATTACAACACAACGAGACAACAACTTTCTAGCAATCTGGTGTAAATGCAATCCAGATCAAGAAACAAATAAAATAAAAGAGGGAATCAAAGCAACCAACCTCAGATCAACCCAGCACCATCATCAGCACAATCTTTTCAACACTCCCCCAATTCTTTGAATTCTTCGTGTCTTCATTCCGGACAAGTAACATATTAAGATAAACGCCTTTAATTTTTCTCAAAAATAAAAACCCTAAGATTCAAGAAACTGAATTGAAACTACAAAAAACAGTGATCAAATCAATAGACCCTAAACTTTTACACAGTCAGATTGATACCTGCTCGCCTCTGGCCGATGAGTGATGCAAAACTTCCGACGAAACCAGAGAGCAAGCCGACAACGAAGCTTCCAGAGATCTATTGTTCAAGATCTGACCTAGGGTTTGTAGAGGCTTGACGATGCCTCCAAGGACGAGGCGAGCGAGATTTGAGATGACGCCGCGTGTCTTATTGTCGCCGCCTCCTCCGACAGCGGGAGGCAAAGGGTTGTCGGAGATGATGCAGAGGGGAGGGGAGCGCGCCGGGTTTCAGCCGAGGAGGGGGTCGGGGAGGAGGGGGAAGGGGGAGGAGGAGAGGATGCAGATGAGGAGGGAGGAGGAGGGGAGTGGAGGAAAGGGATTGGGTTTTAAATTGGGAAGAATGGGTAATTTGGGAATGAATTTCTTGGACAATGGGTATCTATACTGTTTGAGGGTTGGTTGCACTTATATTTCAATTTAAGGGCTTGGGGGTTATGGTTTTGGGGCTGGTGAGGAGGATGCATAACTCAAATTTTTTTAGTTCCTCTAAGCAATTTTCCCTTTTTTTTAATATTAATTTGTCGTCCTTGAGATGCTTGCACTTGTTGGCCTCAATAAGAAATCTCATATCAATGTTTTAGTGTACGAAATTTTGTATTTGTTGTTGGGATAGTGAGAGTTATGCAGGCAATTTATTAGTTAATTTGGTGCCTTGTCACATGAGCTCAATGATTGAGCCAAGAAATTGACAAGATCTTTACTAAATGTTGTTGGCCATAGATTAAGGGGTTAGCTAGAGTTAATCCTTTAATGACTTGTTAAACACAAAAAAATACATGCACAATAAAGTTTTAGCTAACCAATAGAAAGAGCAGTGAGAGATAACCTCTCAAAATGAGGAGGCTCATTAATTCAACTCTTTAAATAGATTAAGAAATAACCTCTGTTTAATTTATAGATAAAGAAGTGCTACAAAGTTATGGATATAATAATTAAAGAGATCAGATAAACATGATCAGCATGTGAAACATTTGTGAGTAGCATAATGTTTAATTTGGTAAAACTTAATTTATATAATGAACGCAAGATCAACTTTATGGCACATATTTGACTTGTTAATCAAGATAAGCTTAAAAATGACCTCAGCCAGTCTTTGTCAATTAGATTAGATTAGATTTGATAGTAAAATATATTGTTTCATATACTTATATTTGTGTGCACGCTTAGATTAATAAAATATATGAAACTGCTTTGTAGTATCAATTTATTACATGAAGTATTACAAAAAAAAATCAAAAAGTTTTAAAAATTAGACAAAATACTCTCAAAAGTTTAAAATTACACAAACTAAAAAGCTAAAAATTTAGAACTTGGCAAAGAAAAAAGTAATTGTGTGATATTCTTTCATTAAGATATATAAATATAAATTATAATTTAAGGTTTACTATCCCTTTTCAGAATCTGAAAATAGTTAAGTTGATATTGGTAAAAAATAGTAATAATAACAGATTAAAATATCCAGTTAAAGAATAAAATTATTGCATATAATTTTACCAATATGTTAGAGCAGCAAAAATACATAAGTATCATTAATTGATAGAAGACTACATCGCAAAAAACTGATAAAAACTATAATATTATAAGTTAACATTAGTTGATTATAATTTATAAATATTGATCTCTAATGGTAATAATATTTATAGGGTAAAAAATTATAAAGATTTATGTATGGAGAAATATTAGAAAATTTAGAGATATCATTCAAAAGAATCAAGTGATTTTCATTTCAAATGGAATTCGGAACGTCCATGAATCACTTCAATTAACACTAACATAAGTTATATTTATCAAAGAAACACCGACTGAGTACCCCTAGAAGAATATATTGAACACTTTGTTCCAATCAAAGAAACATCCTTCATGGAAGATAAAGAAAATTTACTGTGTCATGACTCTGTGTAAGCAAAAAATGTAAAATCACCCCCTTTTTTTTCTTATATAGTATCACGACCTTGCGTGTGACTTTATTTAGGGGTATGACTATTAGTGAAAGATCAATTCTTAAAGACATGATCAAAGATAATGATGTAATAGCACTATTAGAATTCAAGATCTCTAAATATGAATGTAGTATATTTCATTACTAAAATTCTTATTAAAGGCCACTAAATATAAAATTCACCATATAACTGTCTCAAATTTATAGAGAATATATGCATGTCATCGTAAATTGCGTCAATAATATATATCAATCCAAAGATACAACTTACTGAAGAAATAAGAGAATAGTAAGTAAACCAAATAAACATCCATATAACACCGTAGAGAAAAAAATTATATTTTAAAGCTAATATGCAATGTTTTTTTAGAGTAAGCCGCCAAGACAAAAACATCTTCATTAAGGCTCTTTATAAATGCACTATAAATTTAAATTACTAATATATACAACCATTATAACATTCGAAAGAGGTATAATCTTAGAAAACCTACTCTAAAATTCATACAATTAAACCTAATAATAATTTACTAATATATAGACACACTATCGCACCTTTAAGGCAATGATAACTACTATTTATAATAGAGTTGATCAGTGGTTCTATGCTTGCAAAGGCTGCAACAAGAAAGTGGATAGAGATGTTAATAATAAGTGTCCAGATGATAAATGTTGTAGAATCGCCAATGATGTGATACTAAGGTTAAGTGATATCTCTTCTTCATAAAATAAATATATCAAAATTAAATATTAATATTATAATCTAAAGCAAATTGACAACAAAAAATGTAATGTATTTAGTTCAGATCCTCGTGTAAAATAACACAAACAGAGCAAAGGCAACATTATAACACATCAGAAATTCTTATTGGATGCACAACAGAATAATTCATTACAGAAAAAAAAGGTAGCTCCTAACATTATTTAAATAATAAATTAAAAGCACAAAAAAATTCATATATATGAAATTAACATTTATTCTTATTAAAATAGGAAAAAATTAAAGCTTGTATTGTCAGAAGTTTGTGTTGAACATAAAAAATATATTCAACTTTTTTGTGAATTTAGATGAAAAGACAAAAGATATATGAGCCCAAGGAAAGATAACATGCTCCAGTCTCATATCACAATCGATATAGACGATGAAAACGCTACTCTAGAATTGCCCAGGAAAAAGATAAAGATGAAGAAGGATTGATCTTGACTCATTAAAAAGTAAAATAGAAGCAACAAAAGATAATATTTTGTGAATTGTTATAGAATAGTTTTAATTTTTAGTAAAATTAAAAATCTTTAGAATGGATTTTTATAAACTATTTTTAGTGCTTTCATATGCATATGTGGATGAAGTGTACTAGAGTTAGCATTAATTTTCAATTTATGAATTTTTTTATTAACTATTTTGTGTCATTTTAACCCACTTTAAATCAATCATCTTGGCTCGTTGGGTTTATAATTCGTCTTCCTTTTATAATGTTATTTTTTTCAAGTGTTTTCACTTTCATAACACTATACTTCCTCATGACAAGCTCGATTTCATGCCAATCCAAATGAAATGAAATTTTAAATTGGCTTTATATTATATTTATCTCCTGATAATTCAACTATCAACATAAAAATTTAAACTGGGTGTAGCCTATTCAAACAAACATCAAATAAAAAAATAATCAAAGTGTAATCGAGGAACAAATTTTAGTAAGAAAATAAACTAAAAATACTTAATCAAAGTGAGCAAAAATTATCAAAGAGTAACCGAGAAATAAATTTTAGTAAGAAAATAAACCAAAAATACCTAATCATGGTATTTAACCACGTGCATAAAATCTAGTGTGTGTGTGTGTGTGTGTGTGTGTGTGTGTGTGTGTGTGTGTGTAGAGAGAGAGAGATTAATGGGTATCCTTGTCATAGGAGAGGATTTCTTCCTTGACGCCTATGTGACACAATCCATACCATCCTCATAAAATAGAGAGTGTGAGTTGTTGGGGATTTGTGCCTACTTTATGAGGATGGTGGGGATTGTGCCACATAGACGACAAGAAGGGAAATCTCCTTCTATGATAAGGATACACATTAATCTCATCTTGAAGTGTGACACTTTGTACTGCAGCCCATTTTTATCAATTATCACATGCCAGCTAAGCTAAAATTCCCAAACTATCCTTATCCTCTCTCCTCAATCTCTCTGACCCAGCAATCATATCATCTCTCTCTCTCTCATCTCCTCTCTATCTCTCTCTCTCTCACACCTCTCTCTAAAACTAAGAGCTTTCTCATGCTCGTCATCCTGGCCGAGACGCACAGAGCATTAATCTATTAGCTAGAAGAAGAAAAGAAAAAAAAGAAAAAAAAAGAAAAAAGAAAGGTAAGGAGAAATAGAGTAGAAGGGGAATGAAGAAAAATGCCGTAATTAAGAAAGAACGAAAATGTGTATTAATGTATCTCTATGAATGAAATTATCACGGTGCCGCCGAGCGATATTCAAAGCAATATAACGAGAGGTAGAAAATGAGCCCAAATGAAAAGAAGATACTGTGTGATAGACAATATAAAGGACTACACACCGGCGTAGACGGTAGTGAAAACGGAGACCGGAGGTGGCCGTAAAACACGCGCGAAGTCGGCACGGCGCTGCTGTTTTCTGCTCGCTGCTGCCGTCGAGCGATGTTTCGGATGTTACTAAGAGAGATAGAGAATGAGTTAGAGTGTGATACAAATTGGAGGTGATAGGAAACATGTAGGGCTACTCACCAAAGAAGAAATCGACAGAAACGGAGATTGGAGGTGATCAGAAAGTGCGTGCGAAGTCGGTACAAAACTAAAGTTTTCTGCAGTGCAATTTCTCGCCGTTCGGGTTTGTTCTTCGCTGTTCGAGATTTTCGCCGCTGTCCGGGCTTACCGGAGGTGGAAGGAGGTTACCGGGATCATCGGGGTGTCTCGGTGGGCTCCGTCGGAGGTAGGAGGAGCTTTTCTCCATTCCCAAGAGCCTAAAACTAAGATGAATTAGAGCTAGAACTAGCTATAACTAGCAAGATAGAAGCTAGAACAGGCTGTATACAAGCTAGAACTAGGGTAATAGAAGCTAGAGCTAACGTAGAAGAAAGAACTAGCAAGTGTGCATGTAAAAAATCCTTATTGGGTTTAGAACTAGCAAGATAGAAGCTAGAACTGAGGGTATACAAGCAAGAACTAGGGGAATAAAAGCTAGAGCTAACGTAGAAGAAAGAACTAGCAAGTGTACATGTAAAAAACCCTTGTTGGGTTTAGAACTAGTAAGATA